TCTCCGGGGAGGATGCCCCGTGATGATGTCATTAAGGTCAGCGTTTACCGTACCTGAGCGGTGCGGTGCACCGGAGTAATGTTACCGTGTTGCCGGGTCTCCTGTAATTCTCATTTTCCCGGGGTGGCGGGGTAGTTCCCGTTTTGTTCACTAAGAAAAATTTATATATCGGACTGACACTGAGAGTTTTTAAAGGGATACCAGTGGTCACAGTTCGTAACACAAGAATTTCAGTATTTTTTTAAAGAAAATGAAGACGCGTCCGATTGATTAAATGGAGCTTCAGTTATTGATGTACGATGAACTCTTCCGCTGGAAATATTCAGAGGAGGTGTCATTTGATAAGGGTACAATTTTTTCCTTACTGCAGCTCAAATTGCCACAGATTTAGGAGTAATGTAAATGCAAGGACGGCAATGGTAAAAAAACAACTCGGGACTGTTCCGAAAAAAAACATAAATAAATAAATAAAAAAACATAAAATAAAATAATAAAAAAAATTCAGAAAATATCTTAAAATTGGAATGAATTTTGCTTCATCGAAAAATTTTTAGTACCAAAAGAATGTCAAATGGAATTGACGACATTCCGTAAGGAAACGGCTCGATTTAAACACACAAAAAATGAAAATAAATTGATATATTGAAGATAGACCCTAAAGGAATCACCTCATATGCACATACTTCCTTGTAGTGAAAAATTCAATTCGATCACACGTCTAATTTAATCACCTGCAAACGATTCTTAAGCCCCCATTGGTTCATATTCACGTAATTTGATCCCTAGGCCGAAAAATTCCGGAATACACGCCTCGTCTTTGAAAAAATTGAGAGGGTTTCCCTGAGAAGTTTTTGCACCCCCATGGGAACCACAAGGGCGGAAGTAAGTTGGCAACAATGCACAGCGATCGTGGCAGCGGAGCAGTTGAACTTGTCGCACGGCCAAGGTAGGAGTCAGCTGGCACTCATTCACTGCATCGGCATCCCCGTAATCCTCCCCCCTCCCTTTACCCCCCCCCCCCCTTTNTTCGCGGGCCAGTCGCGAGCCGACGCAACCCTTCGACCGCGACCCTGCCCACTCTGCCCGCCTCACCCTCAGGAACACCGTATAGGTATTCCTTCACCTTCTCCTCACCCTCTTCCCCCTTCTCAGCGATCCCTTTTGCTATTTCAGTCATGAAATGGATGCATGCGGGAGCTGGAAAATCCTTGTGCCGAATCTTGACTCTCCATCAGGGGTCCGACGTCACTGCGTACGCATGTACTTCCTCGGAGGCCCACCTGGTTGCTGCGCGGTTCATCCCCCGCCAAGCCACGCTCCCTCCCTTCATCCCTCAAAGAACCGTTTCGCAGCCTGTGGCTCGATTGTTGAATTGCTCCCATCCCATGTCCGTCAAAAGTTCCGGGATTCGGAACTTTTTAGCTCCAATTTCTCCCACTCCATGACTGTCAAAAGTTTTGGGATTCCTATTAGATTTTTTTCGAAAGTTCCGAGAAAGTTCCGGAAAATGCACAAGATCCGGAACATTTTGGGAATTTAGAAGTTCCGGGAAAAATTGAGGAAAATGCCAAAAGTTCCGGAACCAGGAACTTGTTCCGGAAAATGGGAGTGCTGGATTGTTGACTCAATACCTTATGACGTTGATCGATAAAAAGTATTGCCAAAGATAGGGATCAATCGATTAGGATCATTCGATAACGATTCAACAATCGACCCGTTCTGCCGTGCTAAGGAAAAACGCCGTATGAAAATTCGAGAGTTGCCAAATTTCCTCCGATAAAATGTTTATTTTTGAGGAAAGTTATGAATGTTTTTCCGATTAATATTCAAGAACGTTAAGTAAAATTGCAAACAAAATTATCGGAAAAATTAGAAGGAAGAATATTTAAAAAATTTCCCGAAAATTCATGATTTACCAAAGGAAATTTGGCAACGCCTAAAGGTTCGTGCGGCGTTCTTCCTTAGCACGGCAGTGCTGCAGTCACAGCGTTTCAGCAACAATGCTTTTGCTCAGTAATTTTTAATGTTTGTATTTCAGATAAATAAGGAACACAGGAGTGTTTTCAGTTGGCGGGAATTGTCCAGTCAAAACACGCAACTTTGAATTCGTTCTTCGTGAATTAATGTCGTTAAAAAGAAGAGCTAGCAAAACTGTCAACTAAGAGGTACTATCTACTTTTCAAAAATATAAGAATCAAACCTTGCTGAAAAGACTTATTGCTCCGAAGAGCTGGATTGGTATTTTAGAAAACCAATTTCTTGGAAAACGTTGGAATATTAGACTAGATGTAACAAAAAGGGGCCTTAATTTCTGGCTCAACTATAAAATGACCCCAGAACAAAAAACAAAAAAACCAAGTCAAACTTTTTCATACAAAAAAATATACTAAGGGCAACACGTTGTCTCATAATCACGCTAGAACTAGTAATTCCCTTATTACGGAATGGAGTCGGCCTTTTATTTCATGAGATTATTATCATAGGGTCCTTACCATAAAAAAATGGCGTCCACCTGGAAGAAATCGGAAGACTCTGGAGTTATCATGATTTTGCGACCTCTCTCCTGTAAATAAGAACATAAATCGAGGAAATAAAGAATTAGAGGGGGAAAATAGAGAAAAATATATAATACGTTAATTAAACCAAGAATAATTCTGAAGAAATGAACGTTGAAAAAAAAGAGAAAATAGTAAAACAACTAAACAAATTTAACAAAATTAGATCCATCAACATTCGTTAAATGGGAAAAATTAAAAAGTACGTTAAAGAAAAAGAGAAAAATCGAGGGCCTCCAACAAAATGGAATTTCATGAATTTCTTTTCTTTGATTATCTCCCCCGTGAGAATGAAAATTAACGAAACTGTCAAATTTTCTTGAAACGTATAAAAAATTAATAATCTGGGTAGGATTGAGATTTAATGGGTTGTTATTTTTCAACACTCGATCCGAACTCAGTATTGATGAATATGTACCTGCTAGGCCCTCACCTCAACCCGAGACTCCTGAGAAAACCGGAGTGTGTCACGCTGG